GAATTGATTCATAGCTTTTGAGCAATTAAAAGATGCTGAGATCAAAAAGATGTTGTTCAGCTAACGTAAGGCGATCTAAGAGTCGTTGAGATGTGGTGTTGGGGCATATGGTGTAGGGGAGAACTTTGTAGAGTAGGGTTGATGGTTGGACTCGATGATCCCAAGGGTCTTTTCTAACCTGAATGATTCTGATTCTATCTTCTAAGTTTCCCGCCTTTAATTTGTGTTTTGGCTTTAGAGCACCAATAATGTGAGGATGTGCCATTGTAATCAGTGAAATTTGGTCTGTGGTGATGAATGACTGTAACTGCCAGTTGGGCTCGAGGGAAGGGAGTTTTTGGGAGGGATCTAAACTGAAAGAGAGGGGTGCATCTGTAGGCTTTTCTTGGCTTTACCTCCAGAAAGCTGTGATCAGTGTCACCAGCAAGAAAAATGAAATAGCAACCACCAGGTTATTGCAATAGAGAAGCTCAGGAGAGGTCTGATGTACTTCAATAAAGGCAAGTGTAGGGTGCTGCACCTGGGGAGAAATAACCTCCCGCATCAGGACAGGTTGGGGGCTGACCTGCTGGAGAGCAGCTCTGAGGAGAAAGACCTAAGAGTCCTGGTGGACAATAGGATACCCATGAGCCAACAATGTGCCCTTGTGGCCAAGAAGGCCAACGGCATCTTGGAGGGCATCAGGAAGAGTGTGACCAGCAGGTGGAGGGAGGTCATCCTGCCCCTCTGCTCTGCCCTGGGGAGGCCCCATCTGGAGCACTGGGACCAGTTCTGGGCTCCCCAGTTCCAGAAGGACAGGGAACTGCTGGAGAGGGGACAGCAGAGGCTACAAAGATGATGAGGGGCCTGGAGCATCTCTCTTGGGAGGAAAGGTGGAGGGACTTGGGTCTCTTTAGAGAAGAGAGGACTGAGGGGGCATCTATTCAACACCTATAAATACTTAAAGGGAGGGTGTCAAGAGCCTGGGGCCAGTCTTTTTTCAGTGGTGCCCAGGGATAGGGCAAGAGGAAATGGGCACAAACTTGTACATAAGAAGTTCCACCTAAACATGAGGAGGAACTTCTTTCCTTTGAGGATGGCAGAGCCCTGGAAGAGGCTGCCCAGGGAGGTGATGGAGTCTCCTTCTCTGGAGACATTCCAAACCCTACCTGGACACATTCCTGTGCAACCTGCTCTGGGTGGCCCTGCTTTGGCAGGGGGGTTGGACCAGGTGATCTCCCGAGCTCCCTTCCAACCCCATGTGATTCTATCAGATGATCAAAAATGCACAACTGATGCAGGTGTCAAAATAACAGTTTGTCTGCTGTAGAGAGGAGGAGTCACGAGAAACATCAGCAGAAAAGTGATGTGATAAGACCTGCAGTTCTGGAGGGCTGTTTAAGATGGGCTGGCAGTGGGAACGTGGGTGGCAAAAAAGCAGGAGGCTGAAGTGGTGAACACTGGTCATCGGCAGAACGTAGAGTGGAGTTGTAGCAGCCAAGCAGACATTCTCTCTGTGTATGCCCACGTCTTACTGCTTCTCCAGAGCAAGGAAGCCGGTGGAAAAATAAGCCTCAGATTGAGATAGAAGAGCAAAAAATTCCTCCACGGGGGTAGCGTTTTGTGTGGAACCCACAGGGGTTCTAGTGATGCTCATCCTCTGACGCAAGCCCACCTGAATACAAATAAACAGTTTTGTTCAGACTTTACAGTACTGTAAAATGAGTGATCTCAAAACTAGCACTTCGTAGTAATGATCCTTTTCAGCCTGACTGATGTGTGGGTTTTGTTTTTGTGCTTTTGATTTCGTTTTTTATCTAGGCTGACTGTTCTTTGGAGATGATGTGATGAGACAAGTGAATAACCCTTTAATTAAAGTTGGTAGAATGAAATAAATCTCAGGAGCATGACTTAGACATGCGCGACTCATTTGAGACCTTTTCCGGATGTCTAGCTCACTACTGAAGAACGTGAGGACTTCTTTAAGCCTCCAGTCTTTGGAGCAGTTACTCATGTGCCTAGAACTAAGCAGGCTTGTCCCCATCAATTGAAGTCTGTGCTCGAAATTAGCTGTGTGCTTAACTGTTCGACGGGCTTGTGGTCTCAACTGTGTACTTGGTGCCTATGCGGTGGTTTGGCAAGGTCCATCGTGAGCATGTGATGAAACCCTTGGGAAGCATGGCTCTTTGTCACATAATGACTCTTGGCCAAACCAGCCACGTTCTGATACCCGATTACTTTGTGGTGGCCACAGCGATGCTTTCCTTCCCGCATGCCCTTTGCTGTGTGCACTTTGCCTCAGTGGCACCACTTCATGTGAAGGTTTTCAAATGTTGAATCTGATGTCTTTCTGTACTGCTGGATGGGTGCCGCCATCTTTTTGAAATGACAAAGATTTATTTTTTTTTTTAAACTTTCAGCTTGTCTTTTTTTCTCTCTGTGATATCTCACCCAATGCTGCTTGTTAGATGCTGCCTGCGTTTTCTAAAAACAGTTTCATAAAAAAAAATAAATCAGTATTTCGTATCTCCCCCCACTACTCTATTAAAATAAAAAAAAAGGTTTTCACTACCTCTGAATGGAACACCACCTTTGAACGGTTGCCTATTCACTGATAAAGCAGAGTTAAAATAACTCAGGAGTTCTAACCCTCTTTGGCAGTAAAAGAATGTATGTTCTGTCTCCATTTGTTGGCATGCTCTTGTCCAGTATGGATAAAGAAAAATAAATTGAACATCTCTTGTATTTTCTTAATTGTTAGCCGCTTGGAAATTTATGGGTCAGGTAAATTGATAAACCCTGTAAGTATTATTCAGTCCACGGTTCTACTGTTACCTTTCATTAAACTGCTTTAAATGCATGATGACTCAGGCCGGCCAGTTCCACTGCTGCATTTTTCCATCGTCAAAAGTACAGAAGTTTTGGGCTCATCAGGGCTGCATGGCTTTACTTGGTTTGTTTGGCTAAACTGTTTGGGTCTCCGTGCTCCCAAGACTGAGTAACGCAAACCATTCATGGAAAAGCAAAGAGCTTGTGTCAGTTAGGGCATCACTTGCCAGCTCATCAACATTCACTAATTGTATCTCTTGCTTTTCACAGCTCCTCATGTTAGATAAACCAGTTAGACACTTACTGTGCATATATATATGTTGGGTTTTGTTGTTTTTAAATTCTTTTTTTTTGTATATGGCGCTGTGTTCTGTGAATGTGTCAAGGCACAGTATTTAAGAATCCATACACGCTTTGAAGTGAATAGCAGAATTTTTGTTGTACTAAGAAATGTTTGCTCGCTGTTTAAGCACTGGTTTCCAAGGGCTTTGATTCATGAGCTAAAATGACTAAGAAGGTTGCTGCTCCTGGTGTACAGGCAGGGCTGGGTAGGCTGACACTCCTTGTGAAATAGCTGCGTCTTAAAGTGCAGTGATTTAAGGGAAACCATCCCAGATTTTGTTGTGTCAAGAGAACGTTGGGCTGTAACTTTGCACTCTAAGTAGCTTGTGAATCAGAAGCCTTGAGCAGCTGATCACGGCTTTCTTCCATTGACATGTATTTATGACACAAAGTGGGGTATAAATGCTCCCATTTGTTTGTTTTATTTTCTCAGTCACAGTTGCATCCTTTTAAAAAAGTCCTCTTTCCGTGATAAATAGTGTAGGCTAAATCAGCACAATTTTTACTTTGATTAGTGGAGAAACTTTTGGGGTGTTTGTCTGCAATCTCAAACTTGGGTCTGGACTGAATTGTGGATTTTGCAAAGACAGAACTGACACTTAATTACAGCACACAAATAATTTCAGCTCAGATCGGGGGACTCCTAACCAAAGTGTAGTGACATGTTGGCTGTATTGTGACAGAATCTTCTTATACATGTGTGATTATAGAAGTCCTCTTATTTTTTGAATTAAGATCTTTCAGTAGGTTTGCTGTCTGTAGTTACCTTCTAAGTCCACTTAACTTGAAAGCTTCAAAAGGTGGTGGGATATTTTGCCTCTAATAAGTAAGAGAAGAAATGTATTTTTTTTTCCTCTTCTCATTGGTGAGTTTTGGAACTGGCAAACAAACATCAGTGCTTTTTGAAGCTCTGTATGATAAGCAAACAAAGGTAAGTTTCCTTTGTGAAGAGGAACAAAGAGTTACTTGCAGCAGCTTTCAAGTTGCTAAAACTAATAATCTCAGTGTTTATAGGAGGAGTAATTGCCATCTGGAACAAAAAGGTGGGATGTGGGGTTTTTAATCAAATGTAGAGGGTTTCTTTTTTACTGAAAATATGTACTTTTGATGAAAAATATGGATATTTTAAGGGTAAAACTCAAACCCCCCATCTTATGCACCCAAAAATTAGCTTGGGAATACAGATACTTATGTTTGCATAAACTAGTAGCATCTGGTAGATTAAATTGGCCAGTCCATATGGGAATCATCTTGAATTAGGTGCTTCTAATAAAACTAGGCATCAAAGATGTTACTCATAAAGTCTTCTACTTTTTGTGAACTCTTCATTACTCTTTGCGGACTCAGGAAATGTTGGGAGTTGACTGGTGTATTTAGCATTTTGCCTTGCCTAAAGCCCTGTGGCACTTGCTTGTGTCTAAAGTTACTGTGAGGAAAAGAAGAATTAGTACGTAAAACATAGAGCTAGAAAAAGTTGGAAATTAAAACTAGTATTTTTTGGGAGGGTTGTCTGCAAAGTGCCATCTGTGTGGTTACTGATCCCTTCCTGGCGTGGAAGGTTCTAGGAGGTAGCTACAACCTGACCTATTTGTAAAGATAAATGTTATTTGCAGATACAGATGTTCAAGAAACTGCTCCAACAGACTTGCTTCAGGTCAGACTTTTTTTCAGGTGACACTTTTTTGCAGCCTGTACCTCTGGGTGAAGTGTCTGGCAGGCATCATAACTTGAATGTGCTATGACATATTACGTGACCCGTACTGCATGCCTTTGTTTATGCTGTTGCACTGCAAAAAAACCAGACTTTTTTTCTTTTTTTTTTTCTTTTTTCCCCCTCGTCTCTAATGTAGATTGGGGGGTGCTGCAGTCTTAACGTCTTTTCTGTACGTGACAACAGATTATCTCGAATTCCCCCTGAAATTTCCCAAGCCGCTGAGCTTCATGTCCTGGATGTTGCTGGAAACAGGTAAGAGAGTTTTGTATTGGGATGTTCTTTTGCTGGATTTACGTAAATCTTTCACTGAATTTCACTGAATTTCTACCAACAAAAGTTACTACATCTAAGAATGAAGTAACAAAGAACCAATTGCCACTTTTATGTTAGCATTACTGTTGAAATTGTCAAAGTAGTCTTCCCACCTGGCCCAAAGTAGCATCAATTGCGTGTTGTCATGAGTATGTTTTCTGAATTGCTTTGAGGAAAAGGTAGGCTTTTTTTTTAAAAAAAACAAACAAACAAGAAACAAACAAACAAAAAAACCAAACCCTCTGGATTTCTGCGTTAAAAACTGAGAATCTAGGCAATTTGGCAGAGCTTCTGCTGAACCTACCAGCCTTAACGTAAGGTAGCACTAATATTGAGTTTCTCAACTCAGAGATGCAGTGCAAGCAGCAAATAATGCCACTTTGACCTTGTGGTTTCTCGTGAATCTTAGTTGATGTGCTTCGGACATCAAAATGCAGCAAGGAGTGGATTGAAGCATAAAGCAGCAAATGAGTTCAGTTGCTTAGTAGGAAGCTAAGTGGGGATAAAAAAAAAAAAAAAACAAACCAAAAAGAAAAGCAAATGGCATCTCCTGTGTGTGATACAATTATCTGATGGGCACCAACATATTTCTGATCTGGTGATTGTGTATGTATCAGGCTCCAGAGCAGAAGCAGCTGTCTGCCTTCTGCGGTGTTTTACTGCAGTAGAAAAAGCTCAGCATTGTTTTATCTGTTATTCACAACTACAGAGAATTATGGTATAAAGTTAAGCTGCGGATTCTTTTTAAAAGGATGGAGTAGTTGGAGTTGATGACTACTGCAGTGCTTTCTATTAGAGGCATTAATCTCTGTCCTGTTGATTCCAACTCAGGGATATATACTTAAGAGTCGAATTCATGACTATTTATTAAATCTCCTGGAGATTGTCCTAACCTTTTTACTTCTCTTTTTTGAACTAGGTTGACGTATCTTCCCCTCTCGCTGACTACCTTAAAGCTGAAGGCTTTGTGGTTGTCTGACAACCAGTCCCAGCCTTTGCTGACTTTTCAGACTGACACAGACCCTGAAACAGGAGAAAAGATTTTAACATGTGTATTACTTCCTCAAATGCCTTCTGAGCCTGGTTGCCAAGGTAAATGCCTAGAGTTAGTTTTTCATTTTCGTCTTTGTTTACTGTGGTAAGGTTTGTAAAGCATGCATAAGTTCCAGTGAGCAAAGCAGCAAAGTTCTGGTTGAATTTTAACTTCTACACTTTTTTGGGTAGCGATACTAGTTTTCAGAAGACTTGAAAAACGTGGCTGAGTGTTACTGAAAATACAATGACATCAGCTACAATAAAGAAAATATAGACCTGGAAGAAGACGACTTAATTCTCTCATTATTCTGAG